TTTTTTTTTTTAATACCTGGATTTCCTGGTGAACGTGGAATTTTTAAAAAACAATCATTTAAACTTAAATTATGACGTATTGAATTTTGCCATGCTGGAAAACGTTCTTTATAATATGGAAAACGATTCATTATAAATTCACATATACCACTTAATGTTAAACGACGTGATGGTGATTGTAATATAGCCATTGTTATTAATGCTATATATGAATAAGGTGGTTTAACAATATGTTGTTTAGTTGATGATGAAGATTTTTGTGTTGAAGAATTTGTATGTTCATCTTCAATACCACCACCACATAATGATGATGTTGGTGAATGTGGACTTGAATCAATTGAATGATTTGGTGATGATGATGATGTTGTTGTTGTTGATGAGGATGATGTATGATGAGATGAATCAATACATAAACTACTATTACCATTAAGACTAACAACATCAACAAGTAATTCATCATCAATTGATGTTGTTGTTGTTTCAATTTTATTTGTCATGAGTAGTTTAAAATGATCTTTTATTTGTTTTTTTATTTTTGTTTAAAAAAAGGAATGTATTTTTGTTAAATGAAAAATTTTTGACAATTAAAAAAGAAAAAAGACATTGATAAAGAAAAGAAAATTATATATATAAGTAAGCAAACAACTGACGAATGACAATAATATATATATATATATATATATGTAAAAGATCTTTTTCCTAAAAGTGTCTTATGTTATTCTATGATTGTTATGAGAAAAGTTTTCTCTCTCTCTCCCTCTCTCTCTCTCTCTCGTTTGCTTTCGCTTTCTCTTTTTTCTCACCTTCACAGACGACTGATCTGCTTGGCTATTTCCGATGGGGTAATGCTGACTGTTTGCTGCTCATTTCCGTTCGTTGTCGTCATTTTCAAGAGAGCGCGTTTGCAAGAGAGAAGGATCGATTTACGATCGGCAATGAAAGAAAGAGAGAAAAAGAAAAAATATTATCGTAACGGCCAATCCCATCATCTCTCTCATGTATGTATGTGTAGATTGACATGTGAAAGTATTCTTTCTGCGAACATACACACACATAAATAGAACCAATCAACAATCGAAGAAAATGTTATCGAAAAACGAGCGCGAGTGTGCAATAAAAAAAACGATAGAGACTGTGTCATTCTTGCGTTTTTTTTTCTCCTATTCTTGCTTTCTCTCTTATTATAGACGAACAACTGCTAAGTAAATATTTTGAGTATTCATGCAAAGATCTTTCTCGTTTTTTCAATCATAATCATCATTATTATACCATTAAATCGTAATAGTGAGATTGGAAAGAAGAAGAAAAACGAAACACAACAGAGATTTCTTTTTCTTTTTTTATTAGTATATTGCAAAAAAAAAAAAGAAATAAAGTGTGTATATATAGTAACAAGCCTGAGGCTGTTTCTTCAATAGATGCAGGTGATGAGGTGATAATATGACCTTATCGATGTCTGTATGTATATATAAATATATATACATATATGTTGATATTGTGATGCCGATGAAAAGCCACTCAGATGTTGTCGACAAAACACCAAAAGAGACGATAGCCGACTGTATATTATATGTATACATCTTTTTGATATTAGCTTGTAACTTTTATTCATTTTGAAGTCTATCGAACAAAAATGTTAACAAGTCTGTCATCATCGAAACAAAAAAAAAATATAAATCCATATTGCTTAAAATAAACAGAAAAAAACTCATAACAGTTTAACTTTTTAAATTGATCATAAAAAGATAATCGTTACATTCTATGGATAAAAACATCTTATTTAAAAAGAAATAGATTCAATAAAACATTGAAATTTTATCCAATAAAAAACTCAATATTCAATATATCTATTATTAACAATATACATTGTATAAATACTTATATATATTGTTCTATTCATAAATAAAAAACAATCGATTAATATCAGGTGTATTTATTTTATAACTTTCAATATTCTTTCTTTTTTTCCACACTTCAAGTATTCATATAAAATGATCTCATGTTATATTATTATCCAATCGAACAAATCAAAAACTCAATTATGCTATTCGTGCGTAAGAGACAAGTTCATTCTTGTCATTTCTTTCTTTTTCCTTTTTTTCGATTAGTTGACTAGTTATTGCTGATCATATTAATCCATTGTAAGCAATCTGTCTATCAATAAGCGCATGAACAGGTAGCTTTATAAAGTTGTGCCGGAAATGTTATGCTGTTCACACATATACATCTATCGTTTTGACTATGTGTGCAAATGAGAGAACGAAGCAGTAAACACTCAAGAAGAAACAGAATCATTTTGAAGTGGAAAATGGAGTCTCTCTACATCGACAAAAGAGAAAGAAATCAATCTATATTGGATCTCAGTTGCTCTCTTTCTTTTTCTTTTTTGTTTAGATGAAGTGATGAATATGGTCACTTATTTCCTTCTTCTATAACGGATGGATGGATTATTACAAAAAAAAGAAAAGAAAAGCTGAATAGAGTCCGGATGTCCGTCATACATACATAGGAGGGCGTTTAGTTTAAAGAAATTGATTCTCACCAGGTATTTCCTGTTTTTTTTTTTATTCAAAAGGTGTTTTTTTTCAAATGAATAAATAACAACACTTTATTGTTTCTTCTTCTTCTTCTTTGTTTTGTATTCATCGATTAAAAAAGTCACTAGATACTTATATTAGTAGTCAACTGGAAAAACGCCATATGACAATGGAAAAAAAAAGATAATTGAACATGTAAAAGAAAGTCGCGTGCGACCGATGCCATTTGTTAAAGATGTTTTTTATGTGTGTAAGACGATCTGTTTTCTATATATGTGTTCATCATCATCATCATCATCACCATCTTTTTTTTTCTTTTTCTTCTTATTATTGTTTTTTTTTGACTATGTCGGACAACTACAAACGTCTTATACCTATTCTCATGATTATAATTGAATTTCCGTATCGAAGAAGCCAATAGAACAAATAAGATAAGAATTTATGTGAATGCATGCGCATTGACTAACTCTTTCTTTTTTTTCTTTTTCTTAAGATGCGAGAAAGAGGTTGTAAAACTCTTCAATAGAAAGATATAACGAAGACTTGTATATAAACAATGTATTTCATCGAGATATTTTTTAATTAAAGATTGCCGACTTCAATATAATAACTTTATATTATGAAAAAAAAAAAATGCCGACATGAAATCTAATTGTTTGCTAACACGATTGTCTATGATTGCCATTTCTTGTAACAACTAATGAGTCTAAGAAGCTGTCACCTAGTACAAATGTGTGTTTCCAGTTGATATTGAGGGTGGAGCAACTGTCTCCTATCTTCTTTTCACTCCGGATGTTATCGATCTCATGTATGCATCATTTGTCTATATATATATGTCATGTATACAATACTGATAACTTATGATAGCACTAATTGCAAATTGATTTTGCTAATAATCATCAAGAGGCTTGATTGAATCTCTCATGCTATTTATTTAAAGTTTATAAATAGATGAGATGAATATAAATAGATATTATTTTCTATATGATAATTAAACTGATGATTGTGTCAAGAGAAATATTAATTATTATACAAAAGATTTTTTCCTCGATGGTTTTAATTGAAGACTTATTCAAGAAATGAAATGATTATTACAAATGTATATATTGATTGCATCAAAATTTTGAAAAATTATTTGCATATTGTATAATTTTCTTTAACTTCTCATTGGTATAAATCTTATCCTTTCCCATATAGAAAAATTCAATGAATTTGCTGATACAAAAAAAATATGCATATATGACAACTAACTTTAAGGCACATTTTCATTTACGAGGGAATCTCTTCAGCTGTCTTCTTGTGATTTCAACGATATTTTTGTCTATAGATACTAAATAGTGTTTTAATAGAAACCGTAAAACCAATTGGAATCCTATTAAGATTTGAGTAAACTATCGAATTTTTAATATGTCTATTTTCTAGAAGATCCAAGTTTTTAACAAAGTCTATTCGAAATATGAGACTTGCAAGATAGGGACCCTTTTTTCGATGGATAGCGTATATAACATGTATTTTTTGAAAGACTTCACATCTCGAAGAGACTTGTGGATTTTTTTATGGAAGCTAGTCTAATTGAGTTCTTTCAATGTGAAAAGTTTCGGATCAAAATTAAAAAATACGAATTTTCCGAAAATCTGGAACCTCTAGAAAATAGACATATTAAAACTTCGATAGCTTAGTTAAATCTCAATTGGAACTCGAATCCTTACATGATTTTTATTAGAACACTATGTAGTATCAATAGGTAAAAATAAGAATCATTGAAATCGGCAGGGAACAGCTGAAGAGACGTCAACGTCAGTCATTCTCTTTTTCAGAACGATCTTTTCATTGTTTTTTTGACAAGGATATTAAAATTGTTTGCATATGAAGTATGATGTTTAAAAATATTATAGATCGTCTATTGTTACAAAAAAATCATTTACAATTATAAGAACGAATAAATAATGTTGTCAATTTGACTTGGCGATAAACATGTTCATCTTTGAATAAATGTCAATGCAGTTGAGCAAAATAATCTGCCTGACGCAGCATTATTTTCTTTAAACTTGGATGTTCTGAAGGGCACGTACTCTGTGACGTTCTCTGGTAAAGAATGAAAATGATCATACAATTGTTCTATAGTATTATAAAATTAATTATTCATCTTCAGAAAAATGATAATGCATTTATTGAAAATAAAGATTTACAAAAATCAATAACACAAAGTTTATTGAATAGAAAATGTCAGTTTTCTAAATACTAATTATAATATCAGCACTACTCGCTGAAGCATAGCCTCGATTGTATAACCAATATGAAATATTATATGTTTGACCAACAATTGTTGAAAACGTTTGAATTAAATAATCACAATTTCCAATTGCTCCATCATAATAAAAATAACTACCTGATTTAGCTTGGTATATATAGCCTAGACAGTTAAAATTATCTGAGTTTTTTATAACTTCACCAGCACTTGATGCACTATTTGGATTACAATAAATCCATGATGATAATGTACCAGTTTCAAAATCATTATTTGCAATCAATTCAATAGTCGGCGCTGTTATCCGTCGTACAGATACAGCATCAAGTGCAAAACAACCTTGATCTTCACGAAAAGCGAATGCAATACGAGTTCGATTTGAAATAGCTGTATAAGTATATGTGTATTGTTTATATGGTACTATATCTGGACAATTGTCACAATGATAAAGCACAGTAACATCTTTCCATCCAGAAGTACATGTATTGGAAGTAATTGCTTAGAGAAAAAAGAAGTTAGATAGAGTGTTGTTTGTACGTGATTAATAGTTACTAACACTTATTACAGTTGTAATAAACTTTCTCTCTCAGCAATAGAAGACCGGAAGTCTTCTATTATGTCGAAGTGTACAAAGTTTCAACGAGGATCCTCTATTGTGTGTCGTTAATTTTCATAATTTTTAATTAAAGGAGTTTTTCAAAAACTAAAATGATTTTGAAAATCTGGGAGAAGATTTTTAGGGCTCTAAAAACCCAGTAACAATACTGATCTCAGTCTTTTAAGATTTTAAGCTGAAAACCCTGAAAACTAGGTATATTTGTGTGTGAGTATACTAATTAAAGTTCCAATTTTTCGAGTATTTAATTAATTAATTAATTAAGGGCGCGTCTTTTATTACGTCTGGCGCATCATGCTTTCAAGGGAGTCTTCTATTATGGTGGTGGGAAAGTGGTTTAATAGTTACAGCTAAATATAATGATATATAAGTTAAATTTCAAATAGATCTAATTGTAAAAACTTCACATTATGTTTAACTTTCATTATACTCGTTATTTTATGTTATATCAATTAGAGTACACTACTGCAGACCAGATTCAGAAATTTGTTAACATAAGGATCTGTAGCGATTAAATATTTGGTTCTACATCAAATGTAAAGGTTCAAGGATAAGTCTCTTAAATATGTCTACCGAATCATATCATCATTCTCTTAGCATGACTCGTTTTCTCATAGGAAAAAAACACATTGTTACTTAAGTACGAACAAAGTAAATGAAAAATTTTAGTAAACATTCAAATTCACACTGTTGAATATTGATGACCACTTCTCGTTCGCTTATCTCGAAAGTCAGAATTTCAAAATATACTTGCGAAAATCTACGTACTTGCTGTCGATGTGGTAGTAGTTGAAGTTGTTGTTGTTGTAGTTTTCGTTGTCATTGTTGTAGTCGTCGTTGATGTCGTTGATGTTGTTTTTGTTGATGTTGTTGTTGTTGATGTCATTGATGTTGTTGTTGTTGATGTCGTTGATGTTGTTTTTGTTGACGTTGTTGTTGATGTCGTTGATGTTGTAGTTGTTGTTGTTGTAGTTTTCGTTGTCGTTGTTGTAGTTGTTGTTGATGTTGTTTTTGTTGATGTTGTTGTTGTTGATGTTGTTTTTGTTGATGTTGTTGTTGTTGTTGATGTCGTTGTTGTTGTTGATGTTGTTGTTGATGTTGTTGATGTTGTTGATGTTGTTGTTGATGTTGTTGATGTTGTCGTTGTTGTTGATGTTGTTGATGTCGTTGATGTTGTTGATGTTGTTGCTGTTGTTGATGTTGTTGTTGATGTTGTTGATGTTGTCGTTGTTGTTGATGTTGTTGATGTCGTTGATGTTGTTGATGTTGTTGTTGGTGTTGTTGATGTCGTTGATATAGTTGTGATTGCCGTTGTTATTGTTGTCATTATTGTCGTAGTCACTGGCGTTGTTATACCTAAAGAAAAAATTATGCAAATATTGGAATCTTTTGTTGAAACGATTGCATACGCACTTATATCACTACTGACAGTCGTTGATGCTATTCATGAAAAAAAATAACAAACATTAAAGATTGAAGAAAATAAATCTTCATACTTGTTGACATAGGACAGGTTGTCTTAGCCATAACAAGTACTGCGATCAAAGCTGCTAGACTAGCGAAAAGTAAAGCTAAGAGTATGCCTACTAATAAACAGCACAATGGTGAACAACATGAACAATAAAAAATCAAGCATCCTCTACGACGACGTCGCCGTCGTTTCTCATTGCTTTCATTCTTATCGCGCCTAATGTGATATGTTATGGGACTATTATGGCCGACTGAAGGTATATTCGAAGTTGCATGCCAACTATTGGTTCTTGTATAATAATGAGGCATCGAATCAGTTGTGCTTTTTGAAAATTTTTCCGAATCGCTGAAATCAAAAGCATTTGGTGATACGATGATCTGAAAAATATTATGAATTTATCATTTGAAAATCAATCTACTACAATCGAACCTGTTTCCGCTGAGTACTAAAAGATCTTATATTATTCGATGTAACCTACAGATAAAAAATGTTATATTTAAGAGAAGATATTGTGCATTACATTGTCAAGTCTATTCGATGGAATCCCTGCCTTCTGCACACTATCGTATGCAGGATTCATACTCAACTGTTCTAAAGAATTGCTTTGAAAATTTGAATCATAGTTATCACTAGTAGTCGATAAAGTTTCTAATCGAGAAACATATAAGACAGATGCATTAGCAGATACCTGTTTTCTTGTTTCAACTGATAAATTAGGTGTTGAAGGTATGGAATCAATATTTTCTACCACAGGAACTACATTCAATAGTTGTGGAGTTTGTATTTGATTTTCTGCATAATTATACATTTTGGAGCTTTGTTGTACCTATGAAATGAGTAATACAATAATAAAATTCGATTTTCATATGTCGAGGATTGGTTTAAACTCCATGATAAAAAACTCGAGAAGTAATGGATGTGAGAGTAAATCAATGAACTGTGAGAATAGTCGATAGATTGAGCAAAAAACTTATTGTTATCACTAGCTTAGTATATAATTAGTTTCATGTAAGAAAGAATAAGGGATAGGAAGAATCGAACGATTTCATGTAAAGTATTCATTGTTGAATAGAAAAAATGCACGATTTCATGCATATTAACATGTGAATTCATTGAGATTTACAAGTGTCATATACAATCAATGAACTAGTTTCGTGTATTGATCGTTTAAATCATCTTATAATGAATTTATTAAAGTTTGATTGTCTCTCGTTTAGATGATCTTTTCTTTTTTTGATAAATGATAAATTATAAGACAAAAAAGAAAGATATGACAATTATATAATTTATTCCTGAAATATTTTTTTGTTGCATATAAATGTTCAAGTTATGAATAAAAATTATCCGATTTTTGATTATACTTCTAATCAAAGATCTTTTGAATACAATCAGTTTATCTAAAATATGTTAGTTATCAATCGAAAACAAACAATTGTAACTAAAATACAAAGTGTACTTCATTACACCTTTTTTTTTATTCGAAAAACCAAACATTAAATCGTTTCTAAATGGCTTACATTTCCACGCCGAGAATATCGTCGAATTTTCTTGATTTTAGTTACACGATTTACTGTAGGAAGATGCTGCATTCTTACAAACTTTGTCGTTTATTCTATTTTATTGTTATCTACATTTTGAATGTTTCGATCAAATAATTTGCAATAGGCTTCCTTTATACACTTAGGCGCGAAGCATCTTATAACAATCTGTCAAAATTTTTTAATGGAGTGCAAAGCAAGCATTTATGTAGTCCTTCGCAAATTTTCTTTTGTTTTATGTTAATGCAGTTCGAGGCATAGCGTTTAAGCAATCCTTCGTGAGTTTGCTTTTTAAGGTGCAAAACGTTCTATAACAAACAGTGGAGAATTTTTTTGGTTTCTCGCACTCTGCATCCAAAGTTCATATTTTGTGACGCGATTATCTTGAGAGTGACGTACCGTATGATGCTCGTTGAAACGTGACTCGAGACATTGAGATCTTTGTATGATACAAATTTTATTCAATAGTGGATATGATTTTTGTTTGGTCATAGTGAAATACGGATATTGTAAACAATCTATGAATTTGGTAACTCATTATTCTACTTTGTACAATACAGAACCATGTTTTTTTCGCTAAATTTGACATTTTAACTAAGTCGAAAGTTTTATAATCTCATAAACAATGAGTCCAGTTTGAAGATGTGCTTTCGGTCTAGTTCGCGGCCAAGGCTTAGCCTGTTCGCTATCCAGTTATTTAATAAGATCATATTTTTCTTTGTCGAAGTGACTACGTCATATCTATTGTCTAACAAAGTCATTTTTTTTTCATACGAGTCACTGTCATCAGTACCCATCGATTTGTTTTTCATTGCTTAAGAGGTACACAACGGTCGACACAAAAAAAAAGAAAACAAAACTGTTCTATGTAGTTATTTCAATATTGTTTTATTCGTTTAAAAATCCATCCCACCACCTACTAAAATACAAGAGAAGAAAAAATTAATATAATTCAAATAATAACATAGAATAAGCATTATCAGATGTTTGTGGTGTTGCTTCGTTATTAACAACAGCAGAGACTGTTGATGTTGAAGCATCGAAATATGAAAAACATGCTACTCTATCTGTGAAGGGTAGTATGTATGTATTCAACAAATATTCTATTTAATTATTTGAATTACATTGATTTTTTCTCTTATATTTTAGTAGATGGTGGCATGGGTGGAATGGCTTTTTGAAAGAGTAAAATAATATTGAAATAACTACCAAGAACAATTTTGTTTTCTATTTGTGTATTGGCCGTTGTGTACCTCTTACGCAATGCAAAAAAAATGATGAATACTGGTAAAAGTGATTGAGGTAGAAAATAGAATTCATTATATTGAATTAGCTCGACGAAACCTGTAGATGACTTCTATAATTATTTTTTGACTTTATTTGAAATTAGCATATAGACAAAAAAAGGATGAGTGTGTAGGTGTGAGTGTCCGTGAAGAGAGCATCAATACCTACTCACACCCAAGAGTGATCTATTAATCATTGCTTCTTTGTGAGTTAGATTTTGGTTATAGTATAGTTATTAACATACTTCATTATCAAAGCTTTGAAACGAGAGATTATTTTTCAAGAATCGACTTCGTTTATAGTTCACGGAATTAGAAATACAATTTTTTTCCTTAAATATAGATGAGTATTTTTTTTACCAAAATGTCAATAAAATTTGAATATCATGATTTTCTAATCATTCCGAACGAAAGAAAAACAAATTCTTTTAATCCTTATACAGCGTGGTCCAAAAGTTATCGGAGAGTCTTTGATTATGAATAACTTTTGACGAAAATAATATAGAGAGTTGCGGTTTTCACCGCTCGAAAGAGGAGATGAACGCACATCGAATTGTATGATATCAGATAATTTGACCTAGTTTTTTTAATGACTTAAACCGATGTTTTTGAAAACAGCTCACTTCGTAAGGTGACTACACTGAATTTTTTATAATCAGGTGTGCATTCGAACTGCTAGTCAAAAATCTATAAAACTGTGCAAAGCTCAGACTTTGAGAGTTATTCCTTCAGAAGTTATAGGTATTCTAGTCAAAATTCTGAACCGATTTTTCTATTAATTTCTGTGAAAAAATCACTTTTTTGCGTTTTCTCTTATTGTATAAGGAATCATTTTTTCGGCAAGTTTTTTAGAAAATTGATTAAGATAACTCTGGAAAACATCTTAGAAAAACCTATAATATATGATTCGATGGGTCTTCATTTTCTCTTTCGAACGGTGAGAACCGCAGTTCTCTATTTTGTTCTCATCAAAAATTATTCATAATCAAAGACTGCCCGGTAACTTTTGGATCACTCTGTAGATTCAGTAATTATATTGGTAGTGAACGTAAAATAGCATTTTCTGGTCGTGATTATGCTCTATATTTTCTGAGTATTGCATTTATTGATGGTTATATAATATGGTCTGATTTTACTAACCATTCATTAATTCGTGCTGATTCATTGGATAGTTCAAATAAACATGTACTTCTATCTAATGCAATCAATGAAGTTATGACTCTTACTATATATAATGGAAATAATCGAACATGTGTATCAAATTGTAATTTTAATCAACATTGTTATGATCCATTAAATGAACGATGTATTGCAGGGTCAGTAAAATGTAATGGTGGTAAATATTTAGTCTGTTTTTTTAAAGCTAGTGAAATGCTTTTCTTTTTTTTTTAATTAATAATTGTGAAGATGGATCCAATGAACCAAGGACATGTCCACAACGATGATGTACATCAACACAATTACAATGTCGATATCAAAACTGGACATCAATTTCATATGTTTGTGATGGTAGGAGAAATCTTTTGATTTGTTTGATATGATTTTTGTTTTTAAATAGAAATTGATGATTGTAGTAATAACTTAGGTAGAAATTAATTTTGAAGAAAAAAAAACGAAATATCTATTTGAATACTTTAGATGAAGAAAATTGTGAATGTTATTGTACGCTAGGAACATTTCATTGAAATTCTAATCCATGTTTACTAATGGTTAATATTTTGTTAAACGAAAACAAAAAGTAGATTATTAAACTTTTGTTCCTAAAGATTTGTTTGTTATAGTTTATCGACAATGTTCTGATGGTAATGATGAATTAAATTATGATAATCGTAGATGTACTCATAAACAATTTACATATAATAATGGTCGATGTATAGCATCATCACATGAATGTGATTTAGATAATGATTGTGGTAATAATAGTGATGAAAATCCAAATCAATATTTGCCATGTAATAATGCAAATCATTTTCGATATAATAATGAACGATGTATTCCAAGAAGTTTTCAATGGTAAATTTCAGAATTAACAGCATATTTATTTGTTATATTATGTCTATGGACTATTGGTCAAAGACATACTTTATAGAAAGAATATTTATTCAAAATGTTCCAGAATAAAGTTTAAATTCTTTAAAAATTAAGTACATTTATGTGTCTATTTCAATTCTTTCCAAAAAACTAAACCGTAGTCGAATACAGTTTATAATATTTTCTAAGAATTTTTTACCATCGAAGACGGCTAGCAGTCAATCAGATTTCAGTTCAAAGCTCAGATCAAATGAACAAGAGAACTGTTTCAGCAGATCAGTTTCTATCTAAAGAACGATTTGAACATTTGAATTGGATAATCTTTAAAAGCTACCACGCTTGTGATGATTGGTCAAATACAAATGCTCTTTAGACATAGCAAAAGAATTTTGATTTTACTTGATACTGTGTTTTCGAAAGACTTGATTTGCTTCGATATTCTAAAAACAATTTAGCAAGTTGCTACTGTATGTTTGGTTTTTTACTGGCAAAAATGAGAAGAATTTCCATATATTAGGAGTGTGTGTTGACTTCTGCTGATCTTATTTATCTTCTACTAGTGAGAATGGAATTCTGTTAAGCCCTAAATCTCGGACGGATGTACGGAAATGTCAAAAATTCTTTTTTGTCGAAAGACATTAAATATTTTCCGAATCATAAAAACGGTCAATATCCTAATTTCACCGGCCGCTTAAAATTCACATCCAATAGGTTTAGGAAAGAACTAAACACTTTTGAAAATAATTGTAGAGTAATAAATCCTAATATCCATTTATTATCATTGATATAAACTTTTCCTAGGTTTATGAGTGTAATCTATCCTTTCATAAATCATTCCTGTTCATAAATCTTGACAAGGATTTGTGACCCATTGCAAATTTATATACCCTTGTACGACTGTCTGAGCCTACAAACTCTTTTTATGTATGTGAACGGAATAAACCCTCAGACGAAGCAATACATTGAAACAACAGAAAACACATGATACCATAGAAAAACACTTAGAACAATATAACAAAACGAAAAAATCATGACACTAAGAGAATAGAGAAATACATATGATGTAATAAGAGAAAGAAAATTGCAACATCGAAGAATGTACACAAAAGTGAAAGATGATAACAGCTGATTCTAATATTTTTTAAACCATATCTGTAGAGTTGAAATTTATTGTCAAAGCAAGTACTAAATGAGATCTCTCTATGGCTAAAATTTTAACTCTCTAACGTGGCCTGCATATGAGAAGTTTATATTTATCACAAGAGATTTTCGTTTGAGTCAATATGAAAGAGCCGATATTTTCAAAATTACTGCTCATAGCTGAGAGGATTAGTATTTAGTTTCAAAACGGGAGCTCATAAGTCGCTTATAAGAGATAGAAATGTTGACCACAAAGTAAGATGTATATCTAGAATCTATGAAATCTCTCTCTACTACTTAATATGCAGAAAAGTGATCGCAAGTGCGTCCCTATGTAAAATACCTGCGATAGTATCCATCCACCAAATTTCATAACTAGAAATATTATTGTTGAATAATGGTGAAGTATACAACGTATGAGTACTGCAATGGTTATGCTTATTTTTTTTTACCTGAGGGTGCCTCTGTTGTAGATTGAACAACTCAACAATGGAAAAGTTTTGCAAGCCGGAAATTTTTGGCATTTTTACATCTTACTTTGGACTACATACAGGCAAAGCTTCATTGAAGTTGATGATATCAATTGAGCATATGGTTCGCTTTTGGCTCGTCTCTATCGCACAATGTCTTCTAGATACTTATATTAGTAGTCAGCTGAAAAAATGCTATATGACAATAAAAAAAAAAGGAATCACATAATTGAACATGTAAGATAAAATCGCGTGCCACCGATGCATTTGTTAAAGATACTTTTATGTGTGTAAGACTATCTGATTTCTATATATGTGTTCATCATTATGTTTTTTCTTTTCTTCTTCTTCTTATTATTATTATTGGTTGTGTCGGATAACTATAAACGTCTTATACCTATTCTCATGATTATAATTAAATTTCCATATCGAAATAGTCAATAGAACAAATAGGATATGATTTTACGTGTAAGCATGAGCATTGATTCTTCTTTCTTTTCCTTCTTTCCCTTAAGATGGAAGAAGGAGGTTGTAAAATTCTTCAATATAAACAATCTATTATATGAAGAGAAAGATATAACGAAGACTCGTATATAAACAATATATTTCATTGATATTTTGAAATCACAGATTGCCAACTTCAGTGTAATAACTTTATATTATATAAAATGCCGACATGAAATCTAATTGATTGCTAACACGATTGTCTATGATTGCCATTTCTTGTAACAACTAATGAGTCTAAGAAGCTGTCACCTAGTACAAATGTATGTTTCTAGTTGGTATTGAGGGTGGAGCAACTGTCTCCTATCTTCTTTTCACTCCGGATGTTATTGATCTCATGTAAGCATCATTTGTCTATATATATATGTCATGTATACAATACTGATAACTTATGATAGTACTAATTGCAAATTGATTTTGCTAATAATCATCAAGAGGCTTGGTTGAATCTTTCATGCTATTTATTTAAAGTTTATAAATAGATGAGATGAATATAAATAGATATTATTTTCTATATGATAATTAAACAGATGATTGTGTCAAGAGAAATATTAATTATGACATAAAAGATTTTGTTTTTTTTCGGTGGTTTCAATTGAAGATTTATTGAAGAAATGAAATGATTAATACAAATGTATTTTTGGTCGCATAAAAACATCAACAATTAGTTTCACATGTTTTTTATTTGGCCTACATAGATAATTTTATCCAGAATATTTTATAGTATTGTGTTCATATCATACAATCTCATTTGCATAATCTTATCATTTCCTGTACCATTATTTTTTCATAAGTTTAATGTGATAGAATAATTTATGAGTTTACTGATAAAAAAAAAACTATGACAACAGTCTTTCTATACCGTGTATTCGTCTCTTATACTGATGCTGTAGTCATACATGGCTATTTCACTGTTGGCTGCCATTTGGATTTGATGTTTCTTGAATTACTTCACAATGAGCTCGTTTTTCAAAGACATGATCTCACTTTTCATCCACCAAAGAGCTTAGATTTATTTGTATTTATGCATTTGATTTGATTTTGTTCGTTAGTCAGACATGTTTAATATCTTACTAGTGGCTGGCTAACCTAAAAGCACGACTTTGCAGCTACTGGTAGCTCAGGGATACCACCCAATTCTGAAATATAGCTATAGTGCTCTGTAGATGTCTAATACGTCTTTATACAGAGATATAAAGACGATTATATATTATTAGTTTCTTTTGATTTATAAAATACGATAAAAGAATTTTCTATGATAGCAAAAGTATTACTTGTTCTATACCATTATTTAACTAACATTCATCTTCAGAAAAATGAGGATACATTTATTGAAAATAAAGACTTACAAAAATCAATAACACAAAATTTATTGAATAGAAAATGTCAGTTTTCTAAATACTAATTATGACATCGGCACTACTCGGGTAGGCAGTATTGCCTCGATTGTATAACCAATATGAAATAGTATATGTTTGACCAACAATTGTTGAAAACGTTTGAATTAAATAATCACAATTTCCAACTGCTCCATCATAATAAAAATAACTACCTGATTTAGCTTGGTATGTAGAAGTCATACATTGAAAATTATCTGAGTTTGGTATAACTTCACCAGCACTTGATGCACTATTTGGATTACAATAAGTCCATGATGATAATGTACCAGTTTCAAAATCATTATTTGCAATCAATTCAATAGTTGGCGCTGTTAAGCGACGTACAGATACAGCATCAAGTGCAAAACAACCTTCATCTTCGCGAAAAGCGAATGCAATACGAGTTCGATTTGAAATAGCTGTATAAGTATATGTGTATTGTGTATATGGTACTATATTTGGACAACTAGTGCAATGATAAAGTACAGTAACACCTTTCCATCCAGCAGTACATGTATTGGAAGTAATTGCTTAGAAAAAGAAAATTAAATAGAATGTTGATTGTACACAATAAATACTTACTAACAGTTGATGCAGTTGTTGTAGTTGTTTTAGTTGTAGTAGTTGTTGCAGCTAAATAAAATGATACATAAACAATTATATAATATGAAATGTGAATATCGAATTAGATGATTTAATATCAATGGTAAAATGTTGTAAGAACAATAAGAGATTGTCTGTACATTTTGGTAAGAGATTCCGACTTTTTTATAAAGTGAAGAGCTTTAGTTTTCGTTGGTTAATATTGAATTGTGTTAGGAAGAAATAAGTATTAAGATTACTAGAATGAATTGATGATCAGAGAAACGAATTAAGGGAAGACATTTTTTGGAACAAGTTTCTATTTTGCTAGGCTACTCTACATTACTGCTGACAAGATCTAAAAATTCGTTAACATAAAGATCTATAATAATCGAAAATATTTGATTCTACATCGAATGTATAGTTTTGAGAATAAATCTTTCAAAAAAATCCTATTCAATGACATTATAACTCTCTTACTATCATCGTTTTTTATAAAAAAAAATCGTGATAAACAACATACTTGTCACGGAAGTAGTTGTTCTAGTCGTTGTCGTTACAGTAGTAACTGATGTTGATGATGAAGTAGTGCTGGATGTTGACGTCGAACTTGTCGATGTTGAACTCGTAGATGATGAACTACTAGATGATGTCGATGTTGAACTTGTAGATGATGAACTACTAGATGATGTCGACGTTGAACTACTAGATGATGTCGATGTTGATGATGATGATGTTGAAGTTGTGGACGACGAAGTACTAGTAGATGAAGTTGTTGTCGTTACTGATGTCGTTGTTGTCGTTGTTGCAGACGTCGTTGTACCTAAAGAAAAAGTCATGCAAAGTTAAATTCTTTTTTTTTTTGAAAAGGTTATATACATACTCGTACTACTACTTGTAGTCGTTGTTGCTATTCATGAAAAAAAACAAATATTAAAGATTGAAGAAAATAAATCTTTATACTTGTTGATGTAGTCCTGTTTGCCGTTGTTATAATAAGTACTCCGATTAATGCTGCTATAATAGCGGCAAGTAAAGTTAAAGATATGCCTGTTAATAAGCAACAACACGGTGAACAACATGAACAACAAAAAATCCAGCATCCTCCACAACGACGACGTCGTCGTGTCTCATTGTCTCTCTCTTTATCACGATTGATGAGATTTGTCATACGATTATTACGGTCGATTAAAGATGCATTCGAAGTTTTATGCCAAATATCGTTCCTTGCATAAAAATTAGGTATTGAACTATTCGTCTCTGTTGAAAATCTTTTCAAATCATTGAAATCAAAACTATTTGATGGTACGATCGTCTTAAAAATATTATGAATTAATCGTATGAAAATCAATCTACTATAATCGAACCTGTCTCCGACGAGTAAAACTGAAAGGTCTCATATTATTCGATGCAATCTAAAGATAAAAAATTTTCATAACTGAAAAGAAAATATTGCACATTACATTGTCAAATCTATTCGATTGGACCACTGTCTTCTGCACATCATAATGTGAAGATGTCATATTCAATTGTTGTAAAGAATTATTTTGAAAATCTGAACCATGGTTATCACCAATGGATGATTGAGCTTTCAACGAAGGAATACGTATGACTGATACACTAACTGATGGTTGTTTCCTTATTCCAACCGACAAATTACGCGTTGAAGATATTGAATTGACTTTTTCTACTACAGCATCTACATTCGATAATTGTGAAGTCCGCATTTGATTTTCTGCCTCATGATGCTCTGTTAATCTTTGCTGTGCCTATGAAATGAGTAATATAGTAAAAAAATTCGATTTTCATATATCGACGATTGATTCAAACTCGAGAGGTGATGAATGTAAAAGTAAGACAATAAACTGTGACACTAGTCGATATTCTTGTTAAGTATATAATTTCATGCAAGAAAGAATAAATGATTCATTGAGAATTATAAGTCTCATATATAATCAATGATTATATTTGAATCATGTTCTAATGAATTTATTTTGTATAAATAATAAATAACAACACAAAAAAGATTTTTTTCTCATGTTTCTAACCAAAGATCTGTTGAATACAATGAGATAAATTAGAACCTGTTTGTTGTCAATCAAAAAACTAAAATATCAATTGTACTTCATTGCACTTTATTTATTCAAAAAATCTAACATTCAATCTATTGAAATAACTTACATTTCCACGTCGATGATGTCGTTGAACTTTCTTAACTCTAGACACATGACTTATTCTCGGACGACGCTGCATTCTTACAAACTCTTTGTTGCTTATACTTTGAATGTTTTAATCAAATAATTTGCCATAGGTTTCTTATATACTTATTATTATTCAAAAGGATCGTCCTTTGTTCTTTCGTCTGCATGCTTGTTCCAAAGGAGCTCAAGAAAGAAAACCTAATTATAAAAAACATACATCAGGTTTCATTAATAGAATTCAATGTAATGGATTGTATGTTTTCCATCAATAATACAGAGAGACAAATAAAAAAATAATCATGTCTTCCTCAAATAAAATTCTCTTGACAAATTTCTATTTTTGAACTATAATAATTTGTTTTGTCCACCTCAATCACTGTCATCAATATTCATTGTTTTATTTTGCATTCCCCAGGAGGTGTGCACAACGGCAAAAACAAAAAAAAGAAAACAAAACAAAGCAGATATAACAAAACTGTCCTATGTAGTTATTTCACTATTGTTTTATTCTTTTAAAAACCCATTCCACCCATTCCGCCCATGCCACCACCCACTAAAATACAAGAGTAACAAAAAAAAATCAATATAATTCAACTATTTCATGAATACATACTGCCTCCCATAGATGGAACAGCATCTTTTTCCGGTTTCGGTAATTCAACAACAACAGCTTCTGCTGTTATTAATAATGAAGCAACACCACTAGCATCTTGTAATGCTGATCGAATAACCTATAAAATAATAGAAATTAATTTCCATAAAAATCGAAAAAAACAAACAAATCGATTAATATTCATACTTTAGTTGGATCAATAATACCAGCTTTAACCATATCAACAAATTCATCACGTTGTGCATCATAACCAATTTCAAATGGAGATCCAAGTACTTTTTCAACAATTATACTACCATCTTTGCCTGAATTTTTTGCAATGGTTGAGCATGGCATACGAAGAGCTTTTTGTACAATATCAATACCTAGACAAAACAAAAACAAAAAACAGTCGATCTATCGATATTAATTATTTGATTTACCAATTTTTTGATCTTCATTTACAGTACCAATATTGCCTTCCAATACTTTAAGACATCTTAAAAGAGCAACACCACCACCAGGTACAATACCTTCTTCAATAGCTGCACGTGTTGCATTTAATGCATCCGTAATACGATCTTTTTTTTCATTAACTTCAACTTCACTACCACCACCAACTTTTAATACAGCAATACCATTGGATAATTTTGCTAAACGTTCTTGTAATTTTTCTTTTTCATATTCAGAATTTGTTTCAGACACTTCATCTTTAAGTGCATTTACACGTTGTTCTATAGCTGATAGATCACCTTTACCACGCATTATTAATGTATCATCTTTTGTAACAATAACTTCACCAACACGACCAAAATCTTTTGCAGTTATTTCATCAAGTTTATTTAATTTAGCTTCATCACCAAATACAGTACCACCACAAGCAATAGCTATATCATGTAATGTATTTTTACGATTATCACCAAAACCAGGTGCTTTTATGGCACATACTTTAAGACCAACTTTAAGTCTATAAATGACGAAAAAAAACAAACATATTAGCGACAAACAACATAGTCACTCAACAATCATATTTACAGGCAAAATTCAATGTAAAATATTATTATCAAAATTCATTAGTCTAAAAATTTTGCACCCAATTATCTTTACTCAAATCCTAGATAAAACTTTTTTCGTATTCTATATTTACCTGTTAATAACAAGTGTTGTAAGTGCTTCACCATCAATATCTTCAGCAATAATAAGTAATGGTTTCTGTTGACTATTAGCTAATTCTAAAGCTGGAATAAGTTCTTGTACAGATGATAATTTTTTTTCACTTAATAAAAGAAAAGCATCTTGAAATTCACATTTTGCACCTTTTGTTGTATTAATAAAATAAGGTGATATATAACCACGATCAAATTTCATTCCTTCAATTATTTCAAGTTCATCCATTAATGTTTTACCATCCTATTAAAATAAATAAATAAACAAACAATTTTATTTTCATTTTAAAATAATTTATCATATTACTTTAACAGTAATAACACCATCTTTGCCAACTTTTTTCATTGCATTTGATATAATATCACCAATAGATGAATCACCATTAGCTGATATTGTTGCAACTTGTGCTATTTCTTCTGGTGTTGTGACAGTTTTTGACATACGTTTAAGTTCATTAACAACTGTTGATACACCAAGCATAATACCACGACGTACTTCAATTGGATTTGCACCACGTGAAATTCTATCAAAACCTTCTTTAGCTATAGCTCGTGCAAGAATTGTTGCAGCTGTTGTACCATCACCTAGAGATAACGAAAAATATAAAATCATTTATTATATTATTAAATTAATTTATTCATACCAGCTTCTTCATTCGTATTATTTGCAACATCTTGAACAAGTTTAGCACCAATATTTTGAAATTTATCTTTTAATTCAATCGCCTTAGCAACTGTAACACCATCTTTTGTAATTTTTGGTGCACCCCAACTTTGTTCAAGTATGACATTTCGTCCCTAAAACAATGTTTTTGTGTTTTTATTTAAGAAAAAGAAAAAAAGAAGTTTATAAAACTAACTTTAGGACCCATAGTAACAGCAACAGCATCAGCAAGAATATCGACACCTTGTAACATAAGTACTCGTGCATCGGAACCAAATTTAATTTCTTTTGCCAATGAACGACGTACAACATGTTGAATAAGTGGTGTTACTGCTGTTCGTGAAAGTGTTTTAGCAAAACGATACATTTTTTTATTATTATTATTACGAATGAAAACTAAAATTAGAAAAAAAAGAATGATAGATGATGTAAGAGTACGATTCCTGGATGGATGGATGGATGATGTAACATTTGTTTATTCTCCTCCTTGAATTTATATTAAACCTCCTTTTTATGACTGGGTAGATATGAACTTCCAATCAAAAAGAACAAGAATATATATATGAAAGGTCGAATCAATTGCAAATATTCTCGACGATTCTCGTACATTATAGAGATCATTTTTATACTTTATCGTAAATGGTAAGCATAACGAGAATAATATGAGTACAAAAATTTTATATGGAATACTTTTTTTTATTTACAAATTAGGCATCTTCAGCATTAAAACGAATTATTCCATTATTTGATCGTGTTCTGGTTCAACGCTTCGCTGCTGAAAAAGTTACTAAAGGTGGAATACATGTACCGGAAAAATCATTAGGCAAAGTTCTTAATGCTACAGTGATTGCTGTTGGTAAAGGTCTTAAACAAAAAGTATTCGAATTTCTATTTGTTGTTATGTTTTTGTTTGTTTAAAAGGTTATTTTTTTTTATTTCTAGGATGGTACTCATGTTCCAATGAGTGTTCAAGCTGGTGATAAAGTTTTATTACCAGAATATGGTGGTACGAAAGTTGAAATAGAAGATAAAGAATATTTCATTTTTAAAGAAGCCGATATTATTGCTAAATGGGAATAACAGATCATCATTATTTTGTTTGTTTTTCTGAATGATTTTCCCGTGTGTGTGTGTAGGCAAAGGAACTGTTGTTTTTGTTTTTGTTTTTTTTTGTCTTTCATACTTATTAGGTTTGTTTTTTGCATTAATAAAAAAAACAATATTCAACTTAATAAAATAGTTTATAAGATGAAAGTCTTTTGCTTCAGAAAAGATCTAAAATAAAAAAAAGATAAATGATCAATCAGTTCAATACAATATGAATATAGTAAGTATTTAAATCAAAATTTTTATCTGTTTATTTCATTAGAAATTTTTACAGAATACGATTTCATCAACAAAAAATGATTTTCAGCAAATAACAACAAATAAGGTATATGTAAATAGAATTCATTTAATAAGAAAAAAAAAAAGATCACTGTTCAGTGACAGTCAATTATGACTACATTCTTATACAATCACCACCAAGATGCCCCTGAGAAATGTGCAGGAAGTGTTAAATCAAAATAAACAAAAAAAGTCTTTTCGAAGTGACTATCAAAATGGATTCAAAAAATTTTGAATCGAACGAGTTCTAGTATATAGACTAAGCCTTTTTTTTGACATGTTATCTAAAGTTTTTTAATTCTATGTTTTTATGTAATTATTAATAGAATTCAAATCAGCTTTGGTGTAATTTATGTCAACGAAAATTTTGTTCATTAAGTGCATTATATCAACATGGCAAACGTTTATCACATTTAAAACGTGCAATGAAAATTTCATCTTCTCGTTGTACAACAATAACTAATGGAAAAATTACAAGTTGTATACAAAGAAATAAACCATCAAGTACACCAATATCAATTATTCGTATTCCTTCACCGCCGCCGCCTCCTCTTCCTTCTTCTTCTGTTCTTCCACAAATTGAATCAATAACAAAAAATCAAATTATTATTCGTAAAAATCGACATGAACACGATAATTCTATAAGGTGGATAATTAAAAAAAAGAAAAGAAAAGAAAGAATTAATTAATATTTATTTGTTTTTAAGTTATACTTGTAATCTATGTAGTTGTCGATGTTGGTCAATACGTAATATACGTCGTCATATACGTCTTCATGCTGATGTTCGTCCATATACATGTAATATATGTCAGTTAAAGTTTAAATCATATAGTAATTTAATGAAACATTTTAAAACTAATCGACATCAACAAAATAAAGAAATTAATGAAAAAAATTGGACAATTGATACACAAGCACTTGAAGAACAAAGTAAGTTTTAAAATAAAAAAATTTTATAAAAAAAGAAATATTTTTTAGATAAATTAATTAATCAAGTATTAATTGTTGATGATGATAATCAAGTAGAAGAACGTAGGTTTTTTTTCCTCGAAAAATAAATTATTATACAAATAATTCATTGGCTTTTTTTTTTTCCTAGGCAAACGTTCAAATGAATTATCATCTTCAATAGATGGTATGTATGATTGAGATATAAATCAAAAAAAAAAAACTAGAAAGATAAGGAATATTTCCTTTGGCGAAACATGATCTAAAAGGAATGTTGAAGTATAGAGTAGAACCCGTCAGTCCTGATCCAATGGGCTATAGATTGTGTTAACAGCTCTTTTTTTTTAGAATCGAATAATCTACTTGAAGATTTACATATACCTGATAGTCGTTTAATTGATGGTGATGCTGCTGAACTTGCTCTGATTGGTAAGTATTTGATAATTATTAATATCTATTATGATATATTTTTATTCAAAAAATAGATCCAAATACATTTGAAGAACTCCATAAAGCAGCTGAATGTTTACTTAATTTACAAGGAGCATTTTATTTTGGTGAAGATGAAAATGGAACTGAAAAATCAAATCCGCTTCTTTCGACTTAATTCTATTTTATATTATATATATATATATATACATCAGAAATAAATGATTTTTTTTTTCAATTGAAAGAATAGATTTTTTTTTTCTTTTCTTTTTTTCATAAGATCGTTTTTTTGAAGATGGTACCACGACTTATTATATCAGTTAGTAGAATGTATTTTCGTATGTAAATTATATATTATTATTATTCCATGATATTATTTTTTGTCAGGCACGTTTACGTAGTGGGCTTAAAGCATGTATTACTGGAGGTTTTGTTTTTGTTGGTGCAAATATTTATTTTGGTAGTGAACGTTTTTATGAAGAAATATTTATGCCAATATTACGATATATTGATCCAGAAAAAATTCATCATTTATCAATTCAAATGGCTAAATATGGACTTGTTCCTCAAATGAAATCTGTTGATGAACCTATTCTAGTTTGATCATTATTTTCGACTTTTGAGCAAAAAAAAAAAGAATATTTCATTTAATATGTAATTTCTAGCATTCAACTGTATGGAATCGTGAATTCAAAAATCCAATTGGTCTTGCAGCTGGTTTTGATAAGAATGGTGAAGCAATTGATGGTTTAAGTAAATTTGGATTTGGTTTTATTGAAATTGGTATATAGTCATTTTTTTTTTCGTTTAAATATATTTAATTTTTATTTTACAAAAAAAAAGGAACAATTACACCTAAACCACAACCTGGTAATGAAAAACCTCGATTATTTCGTCTCACTGAAGATCGAGCTATAATAAATCGGTTAGTTATAAAAGAAACTTTCGGATAGTTTTCTTTTTATTGAAATTTCACTTTTTTAAGTTATGGATTTAATAATAATGGTTATGAAGCAGTTCGTGCTCGTCTTATAGATTATCGTCAACGTACAAATGCTAATAAAGATAGTAAATATTCTCTTTTTTTTTCTCTATAAAGTAACAGAAAAAAAAACAAAATATTAAGGAAAGTATCCAAGTGAATGTTCGAGTGTTGTTGATGGTTGTTGTTGTTGACGTTGTTGTTCTTCACCATAGAGATGAGCACCTTGATCTGTCTGACGTAAATATTGTCTATAATCAATTGGTAATTCTGTATCAGCAATTGTAAATGAAGCTACACGTCTTGGTTTTGCTGCTGATGATGTTGATGATGAACAAGAAGATTTGAATGGACGTTGTGAAGAATAAGATGTTGCTGGTGTAAATGGTAGTACTTTAACACCACCCATAGCTGCTGGAATTGGTTTTGTTTGTTGAGTTTGAAGTGTAACACGAGGAATTTGACATGATGATATATGATGATCATCATTGATGTTTTCAATATTATTTGTTTGATTTGATATTAAAGAATCTTTTTCAGATTTTCTAAAATAAAAAAAAACAAAGATTGTTATGTCTTGTGTTTTTTTTTAATGAAATTAATATATTTTTACGTTTGATTTTTTCTTAATTGTTTAACAAGTGATAATACATTTTGTTCATGATTATCTTCATTTAAACATGGTGATGAACGATAATGTGAATAATAATAAGAGTTTGTATTATTATTATTATTATTATTGTTATTATTATTATTATTATTATTATTATTATTATTATTATTTCTATTTGTTGTTGTTGTTGTTTGTGTTTTGGATGAAAAATCCAAATTAAGAAAACCATTTAATATATGTCCATTTGTTGCACGAAAAAATATATTTTCATTACTATCAGATGAACGCATATTTGCTGATGTTGATGTTGTTGTAATATTTTCACGTAATAATTTTGGAACATAATTTCCAATATCACCATAACGATTAATAACAACTTGTGGACGTAATAAATAACTATCAAGTATAGATGATGATGATTGTGGTTGTTGTTGTTGTTGTTGTTGTTGTTGTTGTTGTTGTTGTTGTTGTTGTTGTTGTTGTTGTTGTTGTTGTTG